GCAAAGTTGTGTTTAGTTTCGCTAGTTTCTATCTCATCACAACTTTGGAGGAGGTAGAGAGGTGTGGTTTGTAATTTCTATACATGTTTGGAAAACTATCCCGTAAAACGTGAACATTAGTCTTAGTTTAGATATGAGACTTTTTCTGGGGAGAAATGCATTCCTGGAGCAGTTCTTCTGAGTACAGTAATGCCTGTCTCTCTCAGGGGTCGTCTCAGGCTACCCAGAGAATAAGCATAACACAACTCAGACCTGGCAGATGGCTTCTAACGTGCCAATTATCTCTTCTAGGGAGCTTCTATCAGGCTCCTTCACCCAACTGTGCCCCTCAGGAAGATGCCCAGGCTCCAGTGGGCAGATGGAGGAAGGAGGGACCTGGGAACCACCAGTCACCCACCTCAGTGGAGGCCGAATACACAGAATCAGGAAGCACAGAAACCCACATCCATATCATCATGAAACTGCAGGACCCCAAGCATGAAGAGAAGATCTTAAATGCATCCAAGGAAAAAGCACAAATTATAGAGAGCAGAGCTGTGCTGGTCACAGTGGAGCTGGAAGCCGTGAGATACAGGCAGTGTGACTTGGACTCTTCACCGTCAGCTTAGAATCAGGTGTTGAAATAGATGGTTGTTCAAGAATCTGCTCATGGTAAAGGCATTTCCAGATGGGAGATAGAATTTATCACAACAGGAGACTCAGGAGAGTGAGACTCCAGGAACTGACAGAAGATCTTTCTTCCAGCGGAAGGAAGTGGCCCTGGAGAAAGGGTCTGAGTCTGCGATGGGCAGATGAACAGGCAGCCATTGAAGTGCAGGCAGCAGAAAGCAGCGTGGCTCTAAAGCTCTGTTAGCTGGCGACCTTGGTTGTCTGGGTTGTGGGGAGAAAAATGACAGCCCTCGCCCACGCCACACAGCAAATAAGCTCTGAGTGTTTTAAATCCTAGAAGATGCCATGGGAAAGCATCTTCATGAGCTCTGGAGATGAAAGGGCCACTTTAATGAGGTCCTAGAAGCCCAAACAGGGAAGGAAAACATTAAGAAATTCAGGTCAAGCATGGTGGCTCACGCCTGTAATCCCAGAACTTTGGGAGACCAAGTTGAGTGGATCACTTGAGCCTAGGCGTTCAAGACCAACAAGACAAAACTCCATCTCTACCAAAAAAATACAAAAATTATCCATGGATGGTGACATGTACCTGCAGTCCCAGCTACTTGGGAACCTGAGGAGGGAGGATCACTTCAACCCAGGAGGCAGAGGCTGCAGTGAGCCGACATCAGGTCACTGCAATCCAGCCTGGGTGACAGAGTGAGACTCTGTCTCAAAAAATAATAATAATAATAATAAATTAGCCAGCTGGGCACGGTGGCTCACATCTGTAATCCTAGCACTTTGGGAAGCCGAGCCAGGTGGATCGCAAGGTCAGGAGATCAAGATCAGCCTGGCCAACATGATGAAACCCTGTCTCTACTAAAAATACAAAAATTAGCCGGGCCTGGTGGCAGGCATCTGTCATCCCAGCTACTCAGGAGGCTGAGGCAGGAGAATCGCTTGAGCCCAGGAGGCAGAGGTTGCAGTGAGCCGAGATCGCGCCATTGCACTCCAGCTGGGGGACAAGAGCGAAACTTGGTCTCAAAAACAACAAAAAGAACCTGTTCATGTAACTAAACACCACCTGTTCCCCAAAACCTGTTGAAATAAAAAATATTTTAAAAATTAAAAAATAAAAAGTAATAACAATTAAAATATCTCATTGTTACATTGATTACATCTTTAGATAATTTTTAAAATATTTTGGGTTAAATAAATATATCATTAAAATTAATTTCACTTGTTTCTCTTTACAGTTTTAATGTGACTATTAGAAAATTTAAGCCTGGGCAATTTAGTGAGCCCTCGTCTCTACAAAACTATTTAAAACTTAGGCCGAGCGCAGTGGTTCATGCCAATAATCCCAGCACTTTGGGACCCCAAGGCAGACAGATCACTTGAGTCCAGGAGTTCAAGACTAGCCTAGGAAATATAGAGAAACCTCATCTCTACAAAAAATACAAAAATTAGCTGGGCTTGGTGGCACATGCCTGTAGTCCCAGTTACTCAGGAGGCTGAGATGGGAGAATTGCTAAGACCAGGAAATTGAGGCTACAGTGAGCCATGATTATGCCACTGCACTCCAGCCTGGTCTACAGTGAGACTCTGTCTCAAAAATCAGAAAAAAATTAAGGCCGGGTGTGGTGGCTCACGCCTGTAATCCAAGCACTTTGGAGGCCAAGGCGGGCGGATCATCTGAGGTCGGGAGTTCAAGACCAGCCTGACCAACATGGTGAAACCCTGTCTTAAAAAAAAAAAAAAAAAATTAAAATGGCACGTCTGGATCACATGTGGCTCACCTGTTTTTATTGGACTGTCCTGGACTAGAGTTATTCATAGCTGTGCATTCCGTATGTGGTGATGAGGGGGCGCTAATCTGGTAGATGGACTGGTGCAGCTTTTCCCATTTTCTTAATTTGATTGAACTACATTTTTTTTTATTGTACTTTAGGTTCTGGGGTACATGTGCAGATCATGCAGGATTGTTGCATAGGTACACACATGGTAATGTGGTTTGCTGCCTCCATCCCCCCCACTTTTTTTTCTGAGATGGAGTCTTGCTCTGTCATCCAGTCGCCCAGGCTGGAATGCAGTGGTGTGACCTCAGCTCACTGCAACCTCCACCTCCCAGGTTCAAGCAATTCTCATGCCTCAGTCTCCTGAGTAGCTGCGATTACAGGTGCCCGCCACCACACCCAGCTAATTTTTGTATTTTTATTAGAGATGGGGTCTTGCCATGTTGGCCTGGCTGGTCTCAAATTCCTGGCCTCAAGTGATCTGCCAACCCCAGCCTCCCAAAGTGCTGGGATTACAGGCATGAGCCACTGCGTCCCACCTGATGGCAATGAATTTTTAACAGTTAAGGGTCCTAACATCTTAAGAGATGGAGGCTTTCTGGTATTAGGCTGCTCTTGGTGCAGATGCTACTAGAGGAAAGGTGAGGGTCATCTCTCTTTCCAGAAATCTCAGTCTCCAAAGTTTTGTAAGTGTTTCATTTCACTACTATTAAATCATATAGTGATTTAATACCAATTCTAAGTACAAAATTCATAGATATAATTTCTGTCTGAATAAACTGGTTCTGCCTCTTTTAATTTCTAGTGATATTAAGGCCCAAGTATATCCCTATGCTGAACTGATTTTGAAACTGCCAAAACTTCCACCTAATAGGGATGGTTTTTGTCTCCAGTAATTGCATTTTTGGCATCATGGTCCATGAAAGGAGAGTCAGGAGACGGTCACCACAGTAATTTAATTTGAACAGGGACAGTTTAAAGATACATTGACATTTGAAGAGAAGTAACTACTGCAAGGGCATCGAAGAGAACGTAAAGAACATCCTAGGCAGAGGAACACGACTCAACAGAAGTGCTGATGTGGAAGGGAAGGGAGCCCCCCCAGGCTGGGATGCGAACCTCCTTCGAGAGGGTGTGATTGCAGCTGCTGCATGGCAGAGACGTTCACTGGGGTGCCCAGCTGGAGCTCACGCACAGCCAGCAGCTGAGGCCAGCAGGCAGGAAACATGGGCCAAGACTGGCAAGCAGCGTCCTGGGCAACTGAGGCCAGCAGGCAGAGGCTGGAGGGCAAGAAACCACTGCCAGGGCCAAAGAACGTAGCCCTCCGGCGCCCCCTGCCGATCAGCTTTAGCATCACGCCAGCTGGCAAAGGAGCGCAATGAGGCGCGGATCTGAAGCAGGCAGGCGTTGTGACAAAGGGGAGGGGTCCGCTGTTTTGCTCTCGGGATATTTTTAACAGGTCCATAAAAGACTTTTCACCGAAAAGAGCTTTCCCAACATCCTGAAGGAGGTTTTGCAACTTCTCCTGGGTGAGGGTGGCAGTCGCGGTGTCACGCTTTACTTGTGCTGGTCAGCCCATCTCGCTGCACGCTGATAGCCTTTTCCTCCTTCAGCCCGGCCTTCTCACAGATCTCCGACCCCATCTGGCCACGATGAGAGTTTCTGTTTCCCTTTTTCTTTTCTTCTCTCTCTTTTTTCCCCCCCTAAGTATTTCAGGAAAGTATAGTCCCAGGATCACTCTCAGAAAACCACAGATTTTTTAGTCATTTCTGGTACACTGATCCCAAATTATACAGAAAAAGACCAAAATTAACTGACTTGGGGAGGTTGGAGTTCCTTTCCTCGTGCAGACAGGAGCATCCACAGAACACCCATCTAGCCCAGGGAATATAGAGTACACCTATTTTGAGGGGTCTGGGAAGAGAGGGATGAGAGAGGCCATGCAGTCCAACAGATTCAGTTTTGATGCTTGCCTGAAGCAGCAAAGCCTTTCTGAAAAGAAGGGCGGAGGGAAGGCAGGACTTAGACCACATCACCAGGAGAGGAAGGGGGGCGGTACTGACAAGACAGACACTCCAGGATTTCACCAGGAGGGGGCGTCTGTGTCCTCACTACACCGCATCTCCTCCTGGAGTCACTGTTGCTCCCTATCTTGTTCAGATGCCAAATGTGGGGGAGGGGACAGACAAAATTTTAAAACAAGAGTTTGCCACTTTTAGGGGTTGCATTGCATAATGAAGGAAGAGGAAAAAGCATTTATCAATCAAAGGCCAGGCGTGGGGCTCATGCTTGTAGTCCCAGCACTTTGGGAGGCTGAGGCAGGCGGATCACTTGAGACCAGGAGTTCAAAACCGACCTGGCCAACATGGTGAAACCGTCTCTAAAAAAAAAAATTAAAAATAAATAAATAAGAAGTGATAATAAATCAGAGGCTAAACAGCATTACCCTCCAATTCCTAAGACATACTTCCTTTGATACAGGAATAATACCTAAGACCCCTCTGCCACATGGCCATGGGAGGAGTAAAGCCTTGGGGTATTTTGGCAGGAAAGATGAAGCCTCATCACATTCAGGAAGAGAAATCCTAACCCTCTTATAAGGGGTATTTGAAAGGAGGTATTGGGTCGGGATCCGCGCTGCTGGGTGAAATCGTAGGCCAGCGAAGATGCTGCTGGAGTTGTCTGAGGAGCATAAGGAGCACCTGGCCTTCCTGCCTCGAGTGGACAGCGCGGTGGTCGCCGAGTTTGGGAGGATTGCTGTGGAATTCCAGAGGCGCGGTGCAAACCCAAAAATCTACGAAGGCGCCGCCAGAAAACTCAATGTGAGTAGTGACACTGTCCAGCATGGTGTGGAAGGATTAACGTATCTCCTCACTGAGAGCTCAAAGCTCATGATTTCTGAACTGGATTTTCAAGACTCTGTTTTTGTTCTGGGATTCTCTGAAGAATTAAACAAATTGTTGCTTCAGCTTTATCTGGACAACAGAAAAGAGATCAGAACTATTCTCAGTGAACTGGCACCAAGTCTTCCCAGTTATCATAACCTTGAATGGCGACTAGATGTACAGCTTGCAAGTAGAAGTCTCAGGCAACAGATTAAACCAGCAGTGACTATAAAGCTACACCTTAATCAAAATGGAGATCACAACACCAAAGTTCTACAAACAGACCCAGCCACTCTGCTCCGTTTGGTTCAACAACTGGAACAAGCATTGGAAGAGGTGAAGACAAACCACTGTAGGAGAGTTGTTCGCAACATCAAGTAGTGCCAATTTTAAGTTATCATATCCTCTGTTGCAGAAGAGTCTGCCCAGCAACCAAAAAGGGAAATAACACAAAAAAAGATTTTTGCCTTTTCTCACCAACCATATGAGGCCTTTTAACTTTTTAAATTTTTTTACTCTGCTCTGTTAACACTGAGCTACTATAAACTATCCACTTATGCATGGCATTATATTGATAATAAAACACATTTTGAAACCTAAAAAAAAAAAAAAAAAAAAGGAGGTATTGAAAACAAGTCCCAATATTTGTTTAGTAAATATTAGAGATTTGTGAAACAATGACAATGTTTGTTAGTTCAGTGTTTAAGTTTCAGAGTATGAGATCTGAAACTGAATGTTGGGGGCTGATTTTCCTTTGAGAACAGGATCAAGACGCCCTGCTGCCCCTAACTCTTCCTGCCTCCAACATGTACCCCGGGGTGCCCTTTGCAGTCACGGTACAGCCCCTTCAAATTTCTGCACAGCCTGTTTTGTGTCTCACTTGCCTCTTGGTTGGCATGATCAGGGGGCTAAATCTGATCAGAGGGGAAGACTGAACGAGTGAAGTCGCATGGCAGAGGACACAGTGCAGATGCAAGCGGCCCTCTCCTCATCCCCACTGTGAAACCGTGTGCTACAGGAAGAAGGGCAAGCCCAACTCCCCTCTAGGCCACAGGGTCCCTATCTATAACATTAGAGAGGGCACAGCTGCAGGGCCCTGTCAGAAGTCACAGGAGGAGTGAGCGGAGGGAGCCCGAAAGAGCAGGCGGAGCCCAGAGCCGTGGGCCTGATCTCCTGGTAGGACTCTGGGGAAGTGACTCAGCCCGGGCCGACCGGATTGCCCCTCGTTCCTGGCCTAACACTCCCATTTTCTCCCCTGATCTCCTTGGGAAGAGAATTTACCATGAGTCAGAGGTGGTTTACCTTTGTCACTAGCTCAATTAGGGGCCATTGCCTGGAACAGAGTAATACCGATAATTTGCACGCAGTGAGCTAATATTGTTTGGAAGCTGACACACCTATGTGAACCCATGAACAGCAACCTTCCTGTGCCACGCCTCTACCAAAGTCCAGGTTTGCCGCCCTCTGGTAATTCGCACTGATGAAATGTGTACCTGACACCTTCCAACCTCTGTGGCCTTTTACTCACCCTCATTTTCTCCACCAGCTCAAGCCCACTCTATGCCAGGACACTCGCTCTGTTCCTTTTCTAATTCTTTAATTCCTTCCAACGTCAGATGGCCTGATGCTCCCCTCTCCCAGGAGTGTTTTGCCCTAAACTGACTGTCAAAGGTGACCATGACGATTGTGATGCAGCCATCACTCATTTAGTCCGCGAATATACACAACTCTGGGCCCGCTCTTGCATCATCCTCCTGTTTCATTTAATGCGTGCCACCATAACTGCAGGCATTATACCTCATAATATTCTATTTCCAGAGGTTACTAAACAGGCGGCAATCTGTTTTGACAGCCTTCTTTATCACACCGTATTCTTGACAAGAATCCCCCCGATTAGCCCCCAAAATCATCATTCTTTGTCCTGAATTACACAGAATAAAGTATCTGACTGGCATGTGAGATGAATTTGCCTCTCCGAATCTCCACTGTCCACATCTCACACCCTCAGATCTCCCCAGAACATTCACATACAGGTGGGCACTAGGAGAATAACACGTGTCAGAAAACACTCCTCTTAGTGCCCCTTACAATAAGGGGTTGCCACTTTCAGGGGCTGCATTGTGGAAGAATGGAAGGGGAGGAAAGAAGTGACCTTCTCACGGTCTCTTGATCTGACTTTCCTTATCTGAAATCAAAATGTAATACAAGCTGGCCAGGCGCAGTGGCTCATGCCCGTAATCCTAACACTTTGGGAGGCTGAGGCAGGTGGATCCCCTGAGGTCAGGAGTTTGACTAGCCTGGCCAACATGGTGAAACCCCCTCTCTACTAAAAAATACAAAAATCAGCTGGGCATGGTAGTGGGCAGGTGCCACCTACTTGGGAGGCTGGGGCAGGTGAATCGTTTGAACCAGGGAGGTAGAGGTTGCAGTGAACAGAGATTGCACCACTGCACTCCAACTCCAGCTAGGGTGACAGAGCAAGACAAGGTGGGGGAGGGGAGGGGGCTCACGCCTGTAATCCCAGCACTCTGGGAGGCCGAAGCGGGCGGATCACGAGGTCAAGAGATCGAGACCACCCTGGCCAATGTGGTAAAACCCTGTCTCTACTAAAAAAAAAAAAAAAAATTAGCTGGGTGTGGTGGTGCGCACCCGTGGTCTCAGCTCCTCGGGAGGCTGAGGCAGCAGAATTGCTTGAACCCGGGAGGCGGAGATTGCAGTGAGCTGAGATTGTGCCACTGCACTCCAGCCTGGCGCCTGGTGACAGAGCAAAACTCTGTCTCAAAAAAAAAAAAAAAAAAAGAAGAAAGAAAAAAAGGAAAAAATACATACATATAATGCAAGCATCCTTTGACCTACCCCGCTGGAGTTAGTTTATGACCAGAGTTTCCTTTCCCTGTTGGCTTTACACGTGATTTCTAAGGCTTATGGTGTCTTTTATGGAGAAGATTGAAGGGCGTAGGGAGGCTAAAGGGAATTCATTTTTCCTGCTCTGCCCAAAGTTGGCAAACAATCACCATCGTCATTCACACACTGAATGGGAGTGTGCGGGCATCTCCCTGTGGGTGAGAGTGCATTCCATTAGTATGCAATACCACCGATTTGATAAAAAAGAGAAAAAAAAAAGAAAAAAAGAAATTTCATTAGTAATCAAAGAAGGAATTTCATTAGTAATCAAAAAATGTCCCTCAAATAAAGTCCAGGACCAGATGACTTCACTGGTAAATTCTACCAAAAGTTTAAAGAATTACCATTAATCCCGCAAGCTTTTCCAAAAACAGAAGGGGAAGAAACATTTCCCAACTCATTCTATGAGTCCAGGATTACTCTGATGCAAAAACCCTGCAAAGACATCATAAGAAAAGAAAACTACACCCCAATATCCCTTATGGATTATACAGACACACAGACACACACAACTCCCAAGACAATATACTAGCAAATGAAATCCAACTACAGATATAATGGGTTATACACCATGAATAGTTGAGCTATTTGCCAGCACGCAAGGTGAAGCCATTCAACATCCAAAACTCAACGTAAGACACCGTATGAAAAGAATCAAGATAATGCAATACTGGGAGTTTGTTTGTTTGTTTGTTTTTGTTTTTAATATACTCCCCACGGAGGGAGCAGTTTTTTTAAAAGAAAAAATAATAAAAAAGGAAAAGAATAAAGGACAAAAACAACATGACCATCTTAACAGATGCAGAAAGAACATTTGATAATCTTCAGCAATCTTTTCTGATAAAAAACATTCAGTAAACTAGGGAACATCCTCAAGCTGATTAAGGGTATATACAAAAAAAACCCAAAAAACAAAAAAACCACAGCTAACATCACACTTAATGGTAAAAGACTGAAACCGGGGCCGGGCGCGGTGGCTCAAGCCTGTAATCCCAGCACTTTGGGAGGCCGAGGCGGGTGGATCACGAGGTCAAGAGATCGAGACCATCCTGGTCAACATGGTGAA